GAGACAAGGATTTGGCTTTGAAAATACATCAATAAGACTAACACCATAAATGACCACATGTTGGTTATCCAGGCATTAATTCCCACAATTCCTTCTAGGTACTCTCGTTGACTTTGATTTATGATATACCTACATAAATGCCACAATATGCCTAGCAGGCTTTTGTTTCCTAAAATTAATTACAATTAAACAATAAATGTATTAGTGAATTCAATATACTGTAATATACTGTTGATAGTGAATTCAATATTTTGTTTATAATGAATACGGTGTTTATATTTTGATTTATATTATATATTTTTAAGAGAATAATATATATTTTATATAAAATACCTTTATTTGCATGAAGCTTATTGTCTATATATTTAACAATAGTTAAAATAATTAGTGACATTAATATTAATATCCAAATTATTAATGTAAACGTTGTGAACATTGTAAAAATATGAGTTTTATCTGTTTGAGTACCGCTTAATATAACTGTATTATACTCATCGGTATACCACTGAGCACGGGCAAATGTTAATAAATTATCATCAATTCCCCAGGGTGTTAGTGCCAGGTCCATATTCTAATATAAGAAAATAACTACTGTATAATATAGCAATATTAAACTTATTTTACAAAATTTTATATTTACTGAATTGTTTATCATGTAAGTTTGCGAATTAACCCAGGTATCCAATGCAATAAATGTAATATTAAACTTTTGATAAACACCTCTCGACAATGAAACTAATATTTGATTTTCAAAATTACAAAGAATCTAGATGCAATATCATTTTATTTTTAAACGCATAACCAAGATAACTATAAATCAAAGTCATACTTCCCCAATAGCAAAGATAGTAAGTTTAATATGGCTTGTATTATCACCTAGAAAATTGTTTCCAACTTTGTACCTGGAACATCGTCTTATATTATTATCATCCATTTTAACTTATAAATTTTATAAATAATACTAAACCTGAAAATTAATATCATATTTTAATAAACGAAATTTTATATTATTATATATGCATATATTGTTTAATTAAATAGGGCGTTGTTGCTAATAAAATATATTTATAGAAGTAATATTATTAAATATAACTAATTATGACAAAATAAACTCACCATACGTATTGGTACATGTAAACCTATAATATTATTTAATAGGTTAAACGTGGGAAATATTTATAATCTCTAATATTTCCGTGAACTAGTTTTATGGACCAGAAAGTGGACTTGGTAATGTTAATTGTAAAATTTTCTTTGATTAAGATTTACATAACTAGTAAAAATATTTATTTTTGTATATTAGTAATCAAATGATAAGTAATATGTTTGGATATTAACTTAAATGTACATAGAATTCAAATATAAAAGGTTTTATCCTTTTTATAAATAGCAAATATTGTACTTAACTATACGTTAAAACTATGAACACTATATTTTTTGTTAATTCATTAATGATTCAATATTATTGTACAAACAATTATTTAACATCTTATTATTTACATTATAATTAATATATCTAATATTTTAATCATATTAAGAAAATATTTGTTTGTAACTAATTAATAATACTAATTAAATTATTAATAATACCAATTATTCTTAATTTTATAATCAAGTCCATGTGACTTCATAACATTATATTCAATACATGATTCATTATAATGATTGGGAAAATGTCTCCGATCATTATTATTATCTCCCTTATTATGTCTAAGATAAATCAATTCAATACACAATACAAGTCCTGTAAATATTAGGAAACCGCACAAAACAATAAATATTTCAGCGATGAATACCAGTGCGATTTGCTTGTCTTCCTGTCCACTCAACTCCCTGTCCTCATACCTCTTCGTATACTTATTCATAATTTTTAGTTCCCTTTCCAACGACCGGTGACCCATATTTAGCTCAAACATCTCACGCCTCCTTTGACTTATCACATGAATCCCACTTTCGATCATAATTTTCAGACTATTTGTATCAAACAAATCGTTACTAAAAAATAATTAATTTTAAAAATAGATTACATTTTAAGTAAAATTTCGCGATTCTGTGGCAGTGGTGGCCTGTAGTCTGAATTTTCAAGTTTATCCCATCGCACCGGGTGGCCCAGTAGTATCGGTGAATACATTTCACTTCCTGTTTCTAGTAATAGTTCTAAGTTTTGGCGCTTTCGGTTAAATATGGAGGCGCCGTCCTTCAGGAATACTGCCTTTCTATCCGATATTGTCCGCAAATGTTCCTGTTCATAAATTTACAAAATATATTTTTAATTATTTTGAGTTTTAATTATCACAGTTGATTGAAATCCATAATAGCTGTAATTTCTTAATACTCTACAGAATAATTATATACAGGTACTGTAATTTATACCTAGTTATTTTACTTGTACATATAATTGTTAGTAAAATTTTGTGTGATACATTAATGTAAAATTAATTTATTTACCTTCATGGCAACCTCGTCAATGTTATTGTCAATATAATCGACCCTGTTCTTTTGGACTAATTTCAGCAAATACTCATTAAGAGTGGAGTTCCAGTCGAAGTAGTTCTTGATATCCCACCACACGTTGGACTCGTTGGCGACGATCACCCTCTGCTTGGACTCCAACACCTCGTCCAACGTATTGGTCGTATAGACGTGTTGTGTCACAATCGACGATAGGATACCGGTTTGGAAGCACGCGCTCAATACCAGTGCGCAAAATGACCACAAGTTTGTCACCCTGGCCATGACGTCACGCCTACTTTTTTCGGGCTTAGCCTGAACAAGCAAATGGCGAAAGAAATGTAGTATTGCATCGAAGTAATCCTTGATGTACCCTGTTAGTAAATTTGAATGTTAAATTTATTGCATTTAATATCATTGTTATTACCTTGTTTAAAAGCAATTTTGCGTTCAACGTGGAAAATTGTAGCTATGACAATTAGTGAGCATAATAGGGATAACCAAATATCCAAGGTATATATCTTTAACATGGATATCAAATCTGGTTTATCAGTGTATGTGCCGCTTAATATTACGATATTATATTCGTTCATATACCACTGAGCAAGGGAAAATTCATATGCATTATCATCCATACCCCAGGGTGACAGTGCCATGTCCATAATCTTTTAACGATAATTTTCATCATAAATTATAAGATCATAATTAAAATTTTTGATATCATACCGGAGTATCATTTAAATAAGTTTGCAAATTTGTCCATTCACCAAGGGCACGCAAAGTTATGTTAAAGTTTTGATAAACACCTTCGGATAATATGGTTATTATCTGGCTCTCCATATTGCATATGGTCTACGATTTATATATTATTATGCATTAACAAGGCAATTTAATATTAGACTAACTTACCGTTTCAAGGGAAAATATGTTCAAATTTAAAGTACTAGTTTGATCACCAATTAATGTATCAGCTTTATTAAATTCTATGCACTTTGTTAGCTCATAATAAGTCATTGTTTTAGAAAACTATATATTTCTAAAAAATGATAAAAAGTTTTACATATTATCCAATTTTTAGACATATTTATTATTATTAAATAACAGTATTGTGAGGTATTGCACAATTTGTTTCACAATTTATAATTGATTTTGTCATGCTATATTATTAATGCTTTATTATCTTAACATTACATTTGGGGACATTTTAATGATATGCAAAAACAATTATTTATAACAGACACTATAATTAACAAGGTGTAACCGAACCAATAATGTTCTTATAGATCCTTGGAATATACAGATCGATAAGTAGAGTCTCTCAATTGCGTATCTAATGTTTGATCTAAACTATTATTTCATATACATAGAGTATTTGTCAAAACTGAACAATTCCTATCATTTATTACTAATTCTTAATCCCAGAGGTTTAACCTTTGACCGCTAGCAGTGAACTATGCTATTAATTTTGTGAATAAGAATAAGTAATAAATGATAAGAAGTGTTCAGTTTTGACAAATACTCTCTGTATATGAAATAAAGGTTTAGATCAAACATTAGATACGCAATCGAGAGACTCTATCGATAAGTCATTTATAGTTTATAAATCAATTTAATGCAAGTTTAGCATAATTATTATTTTGTTATTCAATTTTGTTATACAATTTTCATGTACCTCTGCATTGTACCTGTATAATGTATCTCATAATCAATCGTTTAATTTTATATTGATTAAGTAATTTGTTTATAACAAATAGGATGTGCATTAAACTAGCTTATTATTCTTATGCAACACTATTCACTCATATTTACATAACAATTAATTATTAATATTTTTATTTAACAATTTATTTTAGAAGTATTTTAAACAACACTTCATTTTCTATTAATTAATGAAAATAAAGACATTTCCATCAAAACAATGGCTATAATTAACGCAAAACCCATTCCCATAGCTTTATATAAATCTGCGACAAACGATAACTCAATTGCTTTAAACTCACTGATGCCACCACCAGCATGGTCACTTTTATGACTCTTACGATACCTGTCCGTATATTTATTATTAACTTTCAAGGCATCACGTAATAATTGGTGACCCCTTATCTTATATGCCAACCTATTTCTTAGCTCACAATTTTGATTAATACCCGATTCAACCAGAATTTTAATCCTATTTATAAATAACAAAAATCGTTAACAATTAAACATTATGTAAAAAACATCTAAATTATCTTACATTTTATATAATAAATGTCTAGATTTGGTGTATTTCTTATTGATTGGGTGACCCAATAGGTTAGAGAAATATGTCTCACGGCTTAGGGTTAGACTTAATTCAAGATTCGTTGCCTTTCGTTGCCATAGGGATGTCCTGTCTCTCAAGTATACCATCTCTTTGTCGGACACTTTGCAAAATATTTGCTAATTTTAATTGAATACAATTTTCACATTAATATCATAAGAAAAATCATTTGAGACAAAGATTGATATATCCCAGAAATTGAGTCCCATTTGAAGTAACTATAAATAATTATCAGTATATTTTTGTGACAGTTTCATAGTTATAAAAGTATTTATAGGTACCAGGTATACAAATAACCTATCTACAAATGAGACTGCAATCACTGGACGGCTGCAATATTTACTTTTAAATAGCTTTCATCCACGTGTTCATCATCGACAAATACGACCCTGTTACTATCCCACA